ACAGAAACTGAAGGGTAATGGCTGACAAAGAGCCTGAAGAGATCAGACAGAATCATATAAAGTGAACCATGACTAATAACAGCAATAGCAGAAGCAACAGTGACAGTAATAGTAGGGGAAAAAATACTGTATTTTAGGTACCAAGCACTATGCTAAAAGCTTTATAACATACATCTCATTTAATTCTCTCAACAACTCTATGAAAAAGATAATACTATAATCACTATTTTATACACCAAGCCTCAAGACGACCAAGAAATTGCCAAAGAACACTCACTGCCAGAGTGGGTATTCTAGTTTAGGCAATCTTGATTATAGAGGCTAACCTCTTATTCCTTAAATGACTGCCTCTCTACTGATTTTATGTCTTCAATGTTCTCCTTAAAAGAATGATATTTACATGCGAATTTTAGAAATACAATTCCAGTCTCCATGTAAAAGGTGAATTGCTAGGGGTTAAGAGGTGAGACAAGCAAACTCAGTATTAGTCAAAGCAAGAGCACCTTGTTTTACTAAGCCAACAGTTACAAGTTATTTCACAGGTTAAGAGTATCCCTTTGTTCCAACAGTCACAAATCATACCTCAAACTAATCCAAGTCAACATGTATAACATGCTGCTTGTAACAAAAATAACCTGGTAAAAAGGTCTAGCTTATGCAGTATAAATTTACCACCCACTACCAAAATATTTCTCAAAACATAACTTTACTGATGGTTGGATTCTTTTTTAAGTTCATAAAGTTTATATTTTTGTATACAGAGGAAAATAAAATTAGTACTGACTCAAGACAACCATAAAAAGATGTGCCTTCATTGATATTTATTAAAAGTCTGATCAACTAGTGTCTGTTTTTCATCCAGGTTAAAGATTCCTCTGGTTTTCAGCATCATCAGTTATTAAACTAACAAAGTAAATTATCTGCTGTCATACACCAATGTTCAAATATTTGGTATTTTATCCACCTCGCAAATTTTTTTCTAAATTCATAAGCTTGTGATTTCATCGAGTGATTACTAAGACAACCCAGCATTAAATAAAATATTAAATTTAGTAAACATCAACTGAGTTCAGTAAATGCAAGTAATTATTAAAACCAGTAAATAACAAACATCTGTATAAAAACATAGTATTTATTAAACAAGTGTCAACATATATGCTATGCATGAGACTAATAGGCTTATACTCTTTATAATAAACTGGACACAGAGTCCATTAATGACACGGATAAAGCATACACAGACAAAATCATTTTGTTCCATACCGCAGTAAAATGACATATAAAAGCTTCAAGATTACCCACTAAAGAAGAGCTATTTTTAAAATACACCTATATTCCAGACAGGCAATAAAAATATTTTTCTATCTTCCAATTTTAAATACTGTATGTTGAAGACAACTCCCACAGATAATTCCTAAAAGACATATTTCACTGAAGAGTAGGGAAAATATTTATATTTAACTCTAATTCTTTAAATATTTGGAGAAACTTTTGGAGGTTACAATCAATGACTGCAGATCAAAAACCTCATAAAGAACAGCCAAATAAACATTTTATGTATAATGTGATAATGCATTTAAAGTGCTGGTAGTTTTACACCCAAAAAAATATATGAGCATTCTCCTGTATTTATATATTATATGAAGTCCTTTTGGTCACAGACACTAAACTTTCAGGTACTGGGCAGAGTATGTATATAGTCTTCAAAGAAAATAAGGGAATGTATAGAAAAATGGATATATGGAGGAAGGGATGAAGGGAGATCAGGCAATATATATTTTTGTACATTAAGCCTCGGGTAGTATGCTAGGAACTCTCACACCCATGATTTCATTTAATGCTAACAATTCTATGGGGCAAGTAGTGTAATTCCTTCCCATTTTATAGAAGATGTCTCATAACTTAATAAGTGGCAGAGCTGGGATCCGAACCAAGATGTAATGACAAAGTCTTGCAAACACAGCAGAACGTCTCAAAGTGTTCTTTTGCAGGAGGTTATCTAACTGGAAGATTGATTTGATTTTCCATATTTACACTTCTCTTATTACTTAAATATTAGAAGGCACTCACTTCTCAATTTATGAAGAATGTTCACAGATTTTCTTTTTAATCTCGAAAAAAGCAATACTGATCATGATCAACCCACAAAACAATATTTTCATTGCTCTACCACTAATAAAAAAAAAACTTCAGCTAAACTCTGTAGCATTCCTATGTACCATGATATGCATGAGCATATCTCCATAAAGGAAAAAAAAAGAAAAAAAGGAGTATGGTGGGACTGAAAGGCAAAATATTGGAAACTGAGACTGCCCACAGAAAATTCAAGACCATCATCATTGTATGTTAGACTAAATTTCTCTGCCAGACTTGTAAGCAACAAATAAGAAAAAAAGGTAGCTTTCCAAAATCTGACTGACAAGCATGCTACTTCCCAAAAACAAACTGGCTTACAGTTTCCTCCTCATAAATCAGAACACAAATCTATTGAAAAATTTAACTGAAATATTTCAAATTTCAAAATCATGTTCTAATAAAAAACACTTCCATAACTACTTAACCACCCTCAAAATACACTGATTTCTCTCTTGATAACCAATGAGCAATGCTGCTATTGCTTGAATATTAATAAAATTAATATTAACCTGTATTGCATTCTTAAAGAAAAATACAAAGCTATAATGCAATTGCCTTGAAAAATAAAACATCACCACTTGAAACAACTCAATATATATTTCAAAGATTATTTCCAGTTGCATTTACAAAAAACAATCTTTGACACACATACCCACTAAAGAAACACAGAAACTCTAAGAATTTGGAAGGAGATTATTCTCAAACCATAACTCAACACCGTGACGTTACAATTACTATTTCTGCGCCCCTATGAGCTACTCTCCTTTCACTGAACACCCCTACCTCTCATTTCCTCAGCATTTTAAACTTTTGCTGGGAAGTAAATTAAGGAGTTAAACATAATTTTATCACTTTTGTTCCAAGAAAAAACATGGTTTTATATATAATAATAATATGAATTAAATGAAATAGACATGCAAATAATTATGTTTAGAAAAGTCATTGTTACTTCGACATCCCTGACTGTTTTAACAAGTAAGTTTCTATTGGAAGCACTCTTCCAAGAGAATTGTTAAAGACGGGGTCTGCAAAGTAAATTACTAGCTTTAGCTCTTCACGGAGTTTTATTATAACAGTATCACCACAACTTTTTGTTCACTGAGAATTAAAAGTGATTCCAGAATCAATTAGTGCATCATCATATAGAACTAATCTTAATATTTTGTAGGATACATGTGCTCCTTATATTTGTTATAAAGTCTAAAACTGGCATCCACTTTAATGAAAACACTTTGAACTTTTCTCCTAAAACAAAAGTTGCCATTCACAGGAAAAACGGAACCCTCCAAAAATATACCAGAAAAAAAAAAAAAACCCAAAACAAAAATGTACATACAAAAGCCACTAATAGCACAACACAGTTATTTTATCCTCACTTTATAAATTCATATTAAAATAAGGGCCATTTTTGTGTTTTCATATAAAAAAAAATTTTAAGCTATTTTGTTTACCTTTTCCACAGACTGTTCAAGTACTGCCAAGGTAACAGATTTTAAAAAGTGACAACTGGAGTACTTGGCAGTTGCCAAAACAACACAGCTGGATTCTTAAAGAGAAAGTACTCTTGTGTAACGTACACCTCATTACAGTTTGAAGAACCTTCTCTTCATATAGTAATAGATGATACGAGACACAGGGAAAACATGCTGTGCTTTAAAAAAAAAAAAAAAAAAAAAACAACATGAAAACATTTAGACATTTGTTTTAAAATTCTTATACCATTGTTAGCACATCACAGCAGGCCTTCCTAACAGCACACTAATTGTAGTACCAATCTTGTAAACTAAAATGCAGGTCAACACTATACTGCACTTCTTTAACCTACACATGGCTTCCCTACTGGACCATAACAGGGGACTCGCTTCGTATCCCCAGAAATCATACTTCAGGTCTGAATCACATTTTTATAGTTACACTTTCACGGGGGGGGGGGGGGTCTAGTTCAGGGATGCTCACCTCTTCGAAACTTGTTTGCACTATCTCACCAACCAATTTAATCCTCGCTGTTCGAAGATAGAGGATTATCGAACTAAAAGGCAAAGTTTGTACCACATAAAACCTTCCCTGAGAGCTGAGATCTAGCGGGACGTCAGGGCAGCTAGCTGTTCCCGCTGCAGCCCTCGCTTCCCCGCGACGTCTCCCTGCACCCGAGGGCGTCCGCACACCGCAGGTGCCCCCAGCCCGCCCCAAATACCGACCCGGCCACTGACATCTCCACACACGCGCCGAGAGTTCGGACCGCTTCGACCAACCTTCTCCCAAAGCAGAAGTGGGGGAACTTCTTCAAGTCCAACCACAGCGCAGAGCGGCCCCGGCACGAGAGGTCAATTCCTTTGGGGAGACCCGGGCGCGGACAGCAGGAGGGAGGAAAGGGCCTTCGGGCGTTCCGCCCCGGAGAGGCTCCGGGCCCCCAGGGAACTCCCTCAACTTTCAAGGAGGCGTCGTCCACCACCTCCCCCCAGCCCCAAACGCGGTGCGCGCCCGGGGAGGCTCCTCGAGCGGAGCCCGCGCGGCCGAGCCTCCCTCCGCCAGCCCGCGACACCGGTCAGACCCCGGGCCCGCCCTCGGGGCACCCCGCCCCCACCACGGCGGGCGCCTCGCCCCTCCGCTCCCACCCTGCGCGACCACCTCGAGCCGCCTCCCCGCACCCCACCCTCCCTGCCGCCGCGCGCCCGGGACCCCGGCCCCCTGCCAGCCGGACGCCGCCCAGCCCTGCCGTCCCCGGAGCCCCGCGGGCGCCCCTCCTCGGCCGCGGCGCCCCCCACCCCAGCGCCCCCCAGCCCCTACCTGGCCCCCTCGCCGAGACACCGCCCCCTCTGGCCCCGCCGGCCTCGCGGACCGCGCCCCGCCGAAGCGGCCCTCACCGTGTCTCCGGCGCAGCTGGCGAGCGCACACACGCTGCAGCCCGGGCCAGCCACCAGCGCTCCGCGCCGCCCGGAGCCGCCTCCTTCAGCCCGGGACTCGCCGGGACATCCGCGCACGGATCCCCACACCGGGGCTATTTTTAGGAGACAGGCCCCGGCCAGACCGGAACTCGTTCCTGCCGCCGCGCGTGCGCACTACGGCCGCGGTCCACAGTGTCCCTCCGCCAGCCTCGCCTATCCTTCCCTTCTCCTCGGCTCCCTCTCTCTCTCTTTTCCCTTGAGGTTTCTGTTCACAGCTGACTTATCCTCTCGGTGGGTTCTAGAGTGCTTGGGCTAGGAAAGACGAAGGTGCGGGCAAAGAGTGTCACAGTGGAAGCAAAGCGCTACTCCACAAGGACGCGAGGGGCGGACTATGTTTTTCCGGGTGGGTGAGGAGACGGATCACCCGGCACAGGAAGGAGATGACGGCGGTTTGGCGCCGGGGCTACAGGCTGGAGCTCGCTTCCCTCTGAAGGACCGTGTTCTCCTGGAAGGGATACTGGTCACTTGATGAGGGCCTAGGCGCCTCCCAGGGCGGGGCGGCCCGGCGGCGTCGCGCCCCGCAGCCCCAGCCTCCCCCGCCGCTGCCTCCCGGACCAGCCCGCCGGGGCCGGGACCGGGAGCGGCTTTAGTGACGCGGCGCGTGGCAAATCGCCGCGCGTGGCCGCCGGCTCCAGCCAACCCGGGACACTGAGGGGCGGGGCTCCGGGGGCGGGACCGGGGCTCCGGGGCGCGAGTTCGACAGACGCCCGGAGTCCGGTGCCAGGCGGAGTCCTTCGACTGGCCCAGACACCTCCTGCCGAGCTCGTGGGGCCGCGGCCAGCTTCCTTCTCCCCCCACCCCCGCCCTCCGGCCACGCCGGCCCCCCGCAGACTTCTGCTAGCCACGCACGTGCCCACGCCCTCATTGTGGTCAGGGCCGCACCTGTGCTCGCGTCTGGGCCGCCGCCCGGTCACCCTCACTGAGCAAGCACAATGGGACTCCGGTCCCTGGCGTTCCGCGGCTGCTCGGACCCGGCCCCGGAGACAGTAGGACTTGCAGGGGTCTGGAGTGGGCAGCCCCTTTCAGCCGGGCGAGCCGAGCGCCCCACGTCGGGGTAGAGAGAGAACCTCCTACTCTCCAGTATTTATACTAGCGAATTACTAACGGGCATAGGTATAGTATGCCTTGAGCGCCCAGCTATGGGCCGAACATTTTGCACGTGAGAGCTCTTGCATTCCTTACAACACCCCCGTGAAGTAGATTCACTTTCTATTCCCATTTTATAGAAGAGGAAAGGGAAGCTGAGCGCTAAAGTGACCCTTTGAGGTCACAGTCGAAGAGGAGAGCATTGAGGATTTGAACTCCCAATCACCATACGTACGTACGGTGGTCATTTCTGAGGTGCAAAGGAGACGTGCACTTGGGACTGCCCTTCTGTTTTGTGGGGTTATTGGTTTTGTTGATGAAGGTCATCAGGAGGTTGAGCCATTGTTGTTCCTTGCATCCTGAAGCCCACTAACCTCAAGAATCTAGATTCTACTGCCACACTGCCTACATCTGCACCCAGAGGTGCCTATGCAAGGAACACAAAGCCAAATGGTTATTTTCATCGGAGGATGAGAAATTCAGTACCGCAGCACTTTGAAACAAAATGACTGGGGTGGGTGAGCAGATGTGCAGAGGCTGGGCAGAGGAACTGGGAAGTTACAAAGGAAGCTGGAGACTGGCAGGCTTCCTCTCTCAAGGACGGGGCAAGGTACTGGGGAGAACCCATGACAAAAGCAGCACACAAACACCAGACACTGGAAAATAAACCTGGAGCTCTGCTCAGAGTCCCATAGTATCAGTTTTCAGAAGAACCAGCAGCAAGGGCTATAGGCAAGTTTTGAAAACACATTAAAATTTGGTGTGAATCAGAGAGCCATGTGAAAATGCATATTTTTTTTACCTGCCAGAAGCTGCGTAAGGCAGCTGCATTTGACTGCTCCAGGAAAATAGAGGACTTTGATACTTTTCCTTCAAAGCCTAGGGTCTGAAGTGGAAGGGACAGTGAGCAAATAGCTCTCTCATTCCCCCAGCCTTTCTACCCTGTAAGGAGAAGAGAGGCAATGAGAACCGACTGTTCCAAGAGAGATTTTCACTCTCTCATTGCTCCAACCCATCTCCCACCCCTCTAGAATTTGACCCTCCTGGGACACAGAAGTCTAGCTGAGACTACCCACCCCCTACCCATTCAAATTCTATTGGCCACTCCAGAAAACCAGACAGAAAAGCTGGTCATGACTTCACCCAAAGTAGAACTGGAGGGGAAAAAAAAAAAAAAATGTTTGCATCACCTAAGAGAGCACCTCTCTCCCTGCCACCTCCTATATGTCAAAGCCCTTGTCTAAGAATTTCAGGGAATGGTAAGAAGGAAGGAAGGAAAGGAGGAAAAGAAAATGGAAGGAAGGAAGAGAAAGTGTAAAATTCCAGAGCACAGCTATTGTAAAATACATTAGCAAAACATAATCACTATTATTTGAGATTAAAATAACCAATTTTAGAAAATCATTGAAGCTCCTATTCAGGTCTCAAAAGCTTGTACGTGAAGTTCAGTGTCTCTAGCAACTTCCAGCGCTCACCTTGGCATAGATCATGTGCAGAACACTTGTGTATATCACTGGCTTGGAGGGAACTTGTGAGAAGCAGAGTCTTTCAGTCCTCCAACTCTTTCCAGCCTCCTTCACGTACTCAGGTATCCAGGTATGTCTGTACTGAAAGGACTCAGCATTGTAGTAGGCACTGTGAAATGGAAGTGAAATAGAACAGCCCTTTCTTTGAAGGGGCTGAAAGGCCACGGGAGGGATACACCTTAAAACACAAGCCAGCCTGCTAACCACTAAAAGAGAGGTTTTCCAGGACACCAGAAAAGCACAGAAGATGAGTATCTAAGAAGGAAAAATAATTACCGAGGGCTCCTTCGAGGAAGCAGTCCCATAGTGAAACTACAAAGCCTTCTGAAGGATGAAAAAGGGGCCCTCTCATTCTCTTGATCTGAAGAATAAAATTCAAGATCTCTTGGAGGCAAGGATCCCTGACCACCTGGCCAGCATCGCCCTCATCTCCTGCCAGACACCTCATCATCCTCATTCCTAAGAAGTTTCTCTGCATACACCAGGCTTTATCTTCCTGTGTGCCTGGTAAAACCCCCCTTATATCCATCAAGTCTCGACTTGGACATCATTTTCTCTAAGAGCATTGCTGTAATATGGTTGAAGTACACTAGTTGATGTGCTTCTGTTTGTACGTCTGTCTCCTCCCCTTTGGAGCTCCTTGAAGACAAGAACTGTGATTCATTCTTCATGGATCCAAAATACCTAGCACAGTGCCTGGTCCATAATAGAAAAGGAAGTAAAAGCAGAAGGAGTACTGTATGCAATGAGTGTGGCTCAAGAGAGAAACCATGGCTAATATCATGTGCCTGAGGCCTGGACTCTGGATTAAGTGCCCAAGAGTGGTAGGAGAAAAGGCTGGAAGAGTGAGACAGTGCAAAATCTTAGCAAATTCAGCTAGGCCTTTGGATTTCTTTCTGAAAGCAAAGGGAAATACAAATTTCAAATGGTGGAATAGTTTGATCTATTTGACGTTTTGGAAGGTTCGCTTAGGGCAGTAGCTGGGAGTTGGTGAGAGAGACCAAGACTGGAGGCAGGATGACCAGTTAGGAGGCACGGCCACTGCTGTGACAGCACCCCACGCAAATAGTTCCCATCCCCAGAGATCTCCACAGACTGTCTCCACACATGCTGATGCCTTCCTGTGTGTCTCTGTCGAGGGCATACTTTGGCCCTACGAGAGGGCTTGGGTCAGTAGACAGATACCCCAGCTTCCTCATGCCTCAGGAAGACAGTCTAGAGCATGCTCCCCAAAGTCTCTCAAGGGTGGGTTGGACCCCAGTTGTCCTCTGTGGTGACCCACTCGGCCACTTTTTATTGTCTTTCCTCATCTCCCCTATCTCACATCCCCAATCCCTTAGAGCCCTTGCCAGGATCACCTTCCAAATAAAAAATCCACACCAAAATCCTCATTTTGGCATCTGCTTTTAAAGAGACTCACTCAAGACAAATGGTAACTGAGGTAAGGAAGAAAAAGGACGTAAATGAAGACAGTTACCTGACAGGAGAGAGGAAGAACAAAGCAAAGAGATAGCTGAAAGGTAGAATTGACCTGCTTGCTTTTGCTGAATGAGGGGTTAGGGAAGGTAGAGGAGTCTCTCTTTGTCCCCAGGTTTCTGGTTTGGTCTCTCAGGTGGATAATAGCAGCATCATTTAAGTGGGGACACTACTGGAGGGGGCTGGACAAGCGAGGGTAATGAGTTCCATTCTGTTTATGTTGAAATGGAGGCGGTTGTGGGATAAAAGTGTCCTTAGCCTTTTGAGGTTGGAGAAAGATATAATTAGATGAGACCAGATAATTCAGGGAGGGCTTTCTGGGGGAGGAGAAATTTAATCAGAATTTTGAAGTTGCAGTATAAGGGCTGGAGAAAAAGGGAAATAGCTTATGGAGTGGAAGAATGATGAGAGGGATGGACAGTAAAAAGAATGGATTAAATAGAAAAAAGCAAGGTTATCTCCACCAGGGAAACCTCAAAGGATTTTTAATTTGTGAGCTGCTTGAAGATAGGAACCATGCCATGTTCAGTCTTGTGTCCCTGACACTTACACAAAGTTAATATTTATTAAATATGGTGTCTACCTGGCAAAGTGTCTCAAATATTTTCCATGAAGTCTGTCTTGTGTGAGTACAGATTTAAAATGGAAGGTTTGGGGTGCCTGGGTGGCTCAGTGGGTTAGGTCCTGGGTGGCTCAGGTCCTGATCCCAGGGTTCTGGGATTGAGCCCCACATCAGGTTCTCTGCTCAGCGGGGAGCCTGCTTCCTCCTCTCTCTCTCTCTCTGCCTACCTCTCTGCCTACTTGTGATCTCTGTCAAATAAATAAAATTTTTTAAAATTTTAAAAAACAAATAAAAATGGAAGGTTTTCAGATGGAAAAGACACATGAAAATATGTTCAGCATCACTCATCATTAGGGAAATGCAAATCAAAACCCCAAAGACATATCACCTTACATCTGTCTGGATTGCTAGAATCAAAAAGACAAGAAAGAACAAGTGATGGTGAGGAC